GCTCTCAGGACGCTCCTAAAACTATGTACTGACATTTTCTGCCGTTCTCGGAAGTATTATGTTGTGGACACTGCCCGGTCGAAGGAAGAAGAAAGGAGAGAATAGCAGAGTTTGTCGATTTTATAATTTGCACCATGCGCATTACAAAGTAAAGCACCCCGATGAATACCTTATTTTCGACCTTTATTCTGATTGTCGGAGACCACGGCGCAAGGCAAATGGAATGGAATGTGATAATCGTGCACATACTGAGACTAAACTCGAATAACGGAAGGCACCAAGTTCGGAATTTACTGTTCCGTAATCCGTTGATTAGCAGTGTCCTTACTGCACTATCTAGACACGTAGGCTTGAGGTTACACATATATGAAGCACACAGCGCAGTCATGCTTTCCGTTGAGAACAGTTTCCGGTTATAGGTGCTATTAAAAGGACGAGAGCATTTTGCTCATCAGTGTTGAATAGCAAATGTAACCTAGAAAGCTACTTACCCGTTGCACAAAGCCCGCAAGAGTCCTTCACAACCGCACGCGATAAGGAAGACGAAGATTAAGATTGCGGCAGAGCGACGCGTACTGGTGCCGGGGACGGTATAGTATTGTTTGAAATGAGGCGGCGTAACCGCTCTTTCAATGACTTGCGTATCCGGCGGGACGTCGAAGCGACACCGCGGGGTATAGCGTGGACAGGTATCGGCGCGGAGGCGCCGGCGCCATAGGTGCTCGCGAGCGCACCAAAGGCAGCAGAGAAGTCTTTCTGAGGCGCGATGATGGCGAAGGACGAAGTCGATGAGGAATAGGACGAGCACGAAGTGAGGGAAGGCGTGGTGATTGGCGGTGAACCTGGGAGGAGAGGCGAGCTGGAGCTGGAGCCGAATGTGAGGGGCATTTTGGGCGTCAGTCAAAGAGGTAATTGTCTGGATATATAAAGCTGGGTGAAAACGACAAGGGAGCACACGGTGAGCTGAGAGCGGCTGAGTGTGGCGAAGCGAGTCCCGATGGAGATTGTATCGACTGCATTCAAAGTCTCGTCCTTGTATTTGGATAAGAATCTTATTGAATCAGTCAGGAATAGTATCACTCGCGCGAAGTGTATTGCGACTGGCAGAGCGCAGGTGCACTGGCCTGAGGATCGCGTATCAGGATATCAAGCGATGTAAACGAAACGCCGACAGGTTCTATTCAACATTGAGAAGCAGGCCGCGGAAGTATATGTCGAAGTCCAATTCAGCGTGTAGTTCCCAAACACCATCTGCAGGCGAGTAGACAAGTCAAGCAAGCGCAGTCAGACACAGAGCGAAAAGGTACCGCAGGCCAGACCAAGTACGAGCCCCCAGTCAGGAGTGTTAGCCCGTCTTCTACATGTGCAGCTCTGCGATTCTGCGGTTTCGTGGTATGTATAAGGTTTCCACTTGTCGAAAAAGACGAAAGTAGACATGTCGGAAGGAGATCATGAAGAACTTGATGGAATCGAAACGGACTTCATAATAGGTTCAGGAAGAGAGAGAACTCGAGCGCATCACAGCTGATGGTGTGTCAGAATGCGGAACGAAAAGATGAAGGAAACACAGCTGAGTTTGATCGCTTAGAGCGCCTGGTCCGTGCGCAATCGTCGTTCGTATAAGATACTGCCGTAGACGAAACGAACAACTCATACTTACCTTGATGGCGCATTCCCCTTCATGTCTTGGGAGTGCGGGCCATTGGGGCCTCCCATAGCACGGCGACCATGTCCTCAGGGGGCGTCTTTGGTTTGTATGCGGTTTATGCTGCATGCACTGTCTCAATATTTTCCAGTCCCTTTTCGGCCCTCGGGCTGGGAGGGCTCTCCTTTTTTTTTGGTTTCTGAGAGGTTCTAACCCTAACCATATTAATATTATATCTACATAACAAGCAATAGCTAGCTTATGTACTCTAACCTGATCATCGACAATAGGGGCGTTCAAAGTAGGAACGGAACGACGTTCCGTTCCTGTCGGCTACCAAAGAAGGAAATGGTTACTTCAGCTTATATCCCTGAGTCACAGATGGTCACACACCCGCCGCTTGCACTGTGGCGGCGACAATGGCGCATATATGCATCTTCTCAACACTCTTTACCATCCAAGTTCACTAGAACCCAACAAATATACCTCAGCATCTGCCATAGATTAGGATGTTTTTGTCCTAATGGGGTATTTCGGATGTTTCCTTATGTGCATCAATTTCTAAACCGACACCTTTTGCAAAACATATTTTGTCCCTTTGCACATAACACAACTTTTTCTTGACGAGCACTTGCCATACTCATAATTACTACTTCTGTGATGCTGTACTTCTAATTTCTAAAAGGACTGGTCAATGGTCTTGTTGTGCCCAAATAGTTAACATGAATTTATATGTGGGGTGCCCACATATTAGGGGGGGAGCGAAGCGTGTATGACTAAGGCTTATTCTGAGCTCTTTCATACTAGCTTTCTATTACCATTGCTTCAATATTTTCAGTGTAGTGAAACTGGAAGTAATGGTTAAAATTTTCCACTGGTAATGTCAGCCTTTATATACTTCAATGTGTAGAGAGGATGGCCCAAGATGCAGCCAGAGCAAAGTTCTCACGTAAGGGGGCTACACACTCCCTGATGTGCTTTAGGGAGGCCGGTAAGTCCTTTTTTTTTTTTCTCACCAGACCTGATTTAATTTTGTAAGCAGAATGTAAAATTTATTTGCTAAGATCAAGAGTTGAAGTGTGGAAGGAAGAAAGGAAGAGGAGAGAGGAAGCAAGCATATATGCAGCGGCTCGCATCATAAGCAGTTCTCACCGGGGGGGGGGGGGCCTCATGCAGCTGGTCACGTGATAGACTTTTGGGAGCCCTACCGTGGTAATTCACTTCCCAATTTTTTAAAATAATATTTTTGGTAAGCAAAAGTGCAGGATTTATTTGCTGGGCTCAGGAGTTCAAGTTGAATCGAAGGGAGGGAAAGAAAGAGAAGAGAGACGGCTGTATGCCTCGGAGGCATGCACCATTTACGGCCAGTTCTCACGGGGGGGGGGCCACACAGCCACATGTGGCAAGTCACATGATAGCTTTTTGGGAGCCCTACCCCGGTAAGAGGGAGCTTCGCTCCCAAAAATGCATGCTCCAGCCTTGGGGTTTCACAAACAATAAAAATACTAAAACTTCAAAAAACAGTCAGAGAAAGATTTGATACATACACAAAATACATCCGGCATGTCCATCCAGCATGTCAATGCATTGTAGTCAAAGAGTGAACTAGGAAATTAAACCCGGTTGCTCAGGAGGGTTCAACCACCATCATTGGATTTGACAGTGCTATATGTTTTATTTTACTCTCAGAAGCTCATAATATATAATACATCTCATATAATGTCTTTAATTTTCAAAAGCTGAAACAAAGAGTGGTTGAGGCTAGATCAGTAAAATTTTGGAATGACAAGCAAGATGTAACGCCGCTAACACTATGCTGAATAATCCTTTCCTTTCTGGGTAGCCGACAGGAACGGAACGACGTTCCGTTCCTACTTTGAACGCCCCTAATAGCACTGCTATACTGCTAGTAGCTACCTGCTGGAGCAGACTGTCCGCCGACCACCGTGTCGCCCGGGTGGTACCGCTCAGCTTCATCTCCTTTTTAACTTCTGTCAAAAGATTTCATCCTGACAAGAAAATTCTGTCTGGTTTACGACTATCACGACACCCATGGCTCATCAGTACTTCACAGAGTCGCCACATCGTGCACGACAGCTCTCGATTCCAATGCAAAATGACTACCAAAATGCGGACGGCGAGCTTGCAGACGACCTCGAGCGGTCCATCTTTATCTTCCCCAATCCTGGATCTGAATCGAGCCCGTCAAGCCCTCTGTCCATCGCGACGGACGTGAGCTTTCCTTCGGACTCTGCGATGACGACGGCAACTAGAGGTCGGAGGGGAAACAGCCTGAGTACGGACTGGGAAGCACTCTCGCCTCGCAGCGTCAGTGTGGACTCTGCCAGTCTGCATTCGCCGCTCGTCGAAATCTGGGAAATGTCCCCGGTCGAGAATGTGGACCCGGACGCGAACCCGAGCGTCATGAGCACTGCGGAGCTCGAGGCGGCTGTCGAGCGTGCAGGTCGGAAGGAGGCGCTGGTTCTGCAACGGCGGTACCCGCTAGGCAGACAGCCGTTCCCGAACACATTCACCTACGTTGATGGACGATTTCAAATTCGAGCTCGGGAGCGAACGGAGAGCCTCATCTCAGCCGTTGACGGGGAAGACAGCTCTCCGCACGGCCGTCTGAAATCGGCATCCGTGTCTAATCCCTCATCTTTCCAACGGTCGCATTCTCACCGTCTCCCGCTGCTCTCGTTCTTCTCCTCGTTCTTCTCAATCGACGACTCGACATTGCATCTCCTCACGCGTCCTCCGCATCCCCTCGCGTCTCCCCTTTTCCAAGGCGCGCGGCTCCAGTCGGGTGACGATGCCGATACCATGCTCAACGACAAGCACATACTTTTCAGCTCTTCGGAGATGGCGAGCCTGAAGGAAGGCGTCGAGGCTGCGACCGACCCTTCTGTCACTCCACATAACATATTTGCGCTGCCTCTGCCTTCTCTAACGTCGCTTCCATCCCTGCCCTTCGCGTGCATGTGGTATCTTGTGAATGGTGCATACAGCGCCCCGAAGAGAATGTGGGTGGGGACTCGACATCAGGCTTAATTGCCATGGACTCATGCATGGTCTTCAAAAAAGACTCCCCAGCTCGTTTCTATGTCTTACAGCCCGCAGATACTCATAGCATACACCATATGTTCGGATTCGAAGTGTTATAATACTCCACTCACTGTATACTACTCACTCCTCTGTTTGCGCGATATAATATATACATGTGATATCTACAATTCAGCGCCGGACAATGTTCTACACTAGCAAAAGTTATAATATTATAGTTGGAACAAGAGCCTAAGACGACTGGTTTAAAAGGCAAGTAAAATAAAAAAGGTTAAGAGATATAAGAAAAGTATGACTCAGCCAGGAATTGAACCTGGAACCATCTGTGTAGTGAAGAGCTATTTCTTAAATGTTAGACAGATATCATAACCGCTAGACCACTGAGTCACTGAATTGTAGGGGATTATTCCCACTACAGCTCTCAATTGAAAGCCTTTCTTGCAGATTTGATCTGACACCGAGCAGGGCTGAGATTCTGCAGATACTTATGAATGTGCTTTGAACAGAATTTCGAAGAACGGTTCCGACAAAGCCTGTCAATGCTTCGGCAAAATTTGCATCTTCTGGAATAAGATGCTCAACTAGCAAGGATAAGAGCGAGGAGCAGATGCCTTGGATTGGTGCATAAGAGAGGTGGCAAACCCAAAAGAGGTGATAAATACGAGTTTCTTCTTAGGCGCCCGTTATTATAGGCCTTAAAAATGCGGCTGTGTGCGTGGAAAATTGTATGACAGCAGGCGTAATCAGTCCCTTGCCAGTGGGCAGTGCCGTAGACATGGGAATGTAAATATGTTCTTGGTAATTTCACCCTTTTTGTGATCATTCACCCTTCCTGTGATCCCGAATTCTGCCCTTGATTTTTTTCCTTCATCCTTTAGGCACTGATTTTGCGCTATTTATTTAGTTTTCACGAAGCCTTTCTACAGAATTCGGGGGCTTCCGCATGAGGATTCGAGGAACGCGTAGATCTAAACGATCGACGCGCGATTGGCGTTCCTAGACCTGACGATCGCGTCGTGAAAACTGGAGTCCAGATCTGTTCAAAAGCTAGGAAGTATAACTGAGTCCCTGACTCGGCAGGTTTTCTCAATGTCAATGGGCATCAGCCATCTCTTCGTTTCAGTTTTCAAACTCTTCCGAGCCATTGACTTCAAGTGCTTAGTAAGTCAAATGAAGCCTTGTATAGACGTGCCGAAAAGCCCGGAAGTGCCGACTCCAAACCTGTAATTGCAGTATAGACATGTTCTGAAAAACGTGAGCTAATCCTAAGTTGTAAGAATACTTTATAAGATCCTACGAGCTAGAAATTTTCGATTCGAGAAGGACCAGTGAGCGTCATCCAAGAGGAGAGCCGTAAAGTGAGTACCTGACGTATTGATTGCTATTTGCGGACACGGTCCTGGATATGATTGACACAGATTCTGAGGCGAGGATGACAAGCCGAACTCACTTCCGCCGTCAATAGCTCCCACCCACTTTTAGAGACCATGCCCGTCATCTTCGTCTTAGTCTCTTCAAATCGCGAAAGACGTTCTTTGTTTCTTTCCACTATCGCGACTTTTGCTTCTTCGTCGCGTTTGCTCGACTTTCAAGGCTGTAGGCGACATATTTCACACACGCTGCGAAACACGTTTCTTCTTGCCGTTAGCAACGATGAAGTCGACGATTTTCACTGCGACTGCTGCGGCTCTGGCAATGCTGCCTAGTATGTCTGGAGCCACAGCGTACAATTTTGCGATGGAGTACTCAGGCTCGTCCTTCTTCGATGGTTGGACATTTCTCGACCATTGTGTGTATCCAAAATTTGTTGCCAGCTCATTTTATTAATTCAATGTTCAGTCGATAATCTCACAAACGGTGATGCAGTGTGGGTACCCATCACCCACCTGCTTAGAATGTAGCTAACAAATATATACCTATAGGTTCGTCAGCCAGTCGGTGGCACAGAAAAGCAACATTGCTTTCGTCAATGATGCTGGGAACGCAATTATGCAAGTCGACAACTCTACGACGCTCAGCTTCGGCGAAAAGAGAAACACGCTTCATATTACGAGTGCAGATCAGTTTACAGTAGGGAGTGTGTGGATTGCGGATTTCTTACATGTGCCTTATGGAGTACGTTGCTGCTTATTTTCAAGCGTCAATTGCTGATTATTTGCTAGTGCTCTACCTGGCCTTCTTTCTGGTCTGTCGCCCCGGATTGGCCTACCGGGGGTGAGATCGACACATTCGAGGGTGTCAATGACGTCAAGAACAACCAAATGACTTTACATACTGAGCCCGTACGTTTTCTATCTCGCGTATTTGAAATTTTATCTTATCTTCGTTTCTTCTTAGGGTTGTGTCCAGTCAAATGCGACACAGACAAGCACGCTTGTGAACTCAACTGACTGCGATTTTGAGGCGAACGGTAACCAAGGCTGTACCACGACAGATCCCAACACTTCTTCGTATGGAGAAGCGTTTGCTGTTGCGGGAGGAGGCATTTACGTCACCGAGTTCGCTGCATCCGGCATTTCGTCAGTATCACTTTCTTCTTGCCCAAATTAGACGAGCTTATGACTCAAATATTCTTCAGCGTCTGGTTCTTCAACGTTCGTGCTTTTATAACCTGCGCAGGTTTGCTGAAATTCAATTTGAATGCTTAGCGCTCGTCTATCCCATCTTCCCTGTCCTCGGACAACGTCACCAGCTTCGACACTGGCAGTTTGGGAATCCCAGTTGTGAACTGGCCAAACACCGGCTGCAACATAGACAACTTCTTCAGGCCTCAGAACCTCGTCTTTGACATCACGCTCTGCGGTGATCTGTGGGTTCATTAGTATCCTCTATCTTCCCCAATTAGCATCACTGATTCTTCCCCAACTCTAGTGCCGGCCAGACAACTGTTTTCTCGCAGACGTGCACGGGGGATTGTTACGTCGACTGGGTGACGGGTCCGCCGTCGAACTTCGACAATGCGTATTTCGAGGTCAAGTCTGTCAAGATCTTTGGATCCGGCACGAATCCGATGAGCAGCGTCATCAAAGCGAGCGCCGCGCCGCGCCGAGCTAACTTGCTCGGCTGGGCGGGTCTTACCTCTATTGGTGTGTCTGTTATCCTGGCGGCCGCCATGCATGCTGGCATACCATAGTGGTGACAATGGGCCTTGTTTCCATAGCGTGTACAACTTACCACTTTTTTATCTGCACCAATGTATATCTGCATTTTCGGTTTGTTGTTGTTTTTATTGTTTAGTAATATCTTATTTCTTTTCTTCAATGGATTGACGTGAGTTGCAGGCTCATTGCTGAGGAATAGAATGAGGCAAGTTAGGATATACAAGTTGGACTTGCATATTATAGAAGTAAGCTGTTACATAATGAAAGGAAATATTGTTACGTAATAACCGGAAATGGAAACGGCACAGAAATGGCAAAGTAACCGAGTCTCTCTGCCTTGGAATTCTCCGTCATCATCTTCGAGCACGCTCACCCAACGCCGAACTCCGTCAGCGCTGCTGTGGCTGACAACGACGACGAAGGTATACTCAATATCTCTCTTGTTTTTTTGGCATGCTTATACGTCCGTGCTAGCAGGTTGAACCGGAAGTCTAGTGCAAAATGCAGGGATACCCAGGCATGAACATGAATCGGCCTGGTCTTGGTCTACGTCCGCCCATGCCTTCGTACGGCCAAGGGCCCTCGATGATGACTCTTGCTCAAAGGCAGCAACCTCCACCCCCGATGCGTCCTGCGCAGGAAGGAATAACCATCTTCGTCGGCTCGATATCCGGGGGCATCACGGACCCTTTTCTCAATCAACTACTCGGGGTACGTGGCTCGCAATTTTATCGTTCGTACCGTTGTTGATTTCGATACAGTCATGCGGATACTTGGTGTCCTTCAAGCGTCTAATCACCCCTGCAAACAAGCCTCAAGGTTTTGGCTTTGCAACGTACGAGAGCCCCGAGGGCGCTGCGCGAGCAGTCAAGTTACTAGATGGCGTTGAGTTACCTGCAATGGAGGATGGGTGCACACCCAAGAAGCTTCTGGTGCGTCTGCAAGCTTTATTTCTTCTCGTCACGCGTCGTTTTACGCTGTTCGAATGCAGGTGAGGGCCGATGAGCTTAATAGGGGAAAAATTGATACCTATTTCGCCTCGCGAATGAACACTGATGTGAGTGGTTTCTATTCTTCATTCACCGTGCTCTAATTTTCTCTATAGACAGATGATTCTCAAATGACGAAAGCTAAGACTGAAATCGATGCACTTTTAAAGAACATCAAAATGCAGCACGACGAGGCTGCCAACAGTGGTAGTCTTGACAAAGAAAGATACGTCGTTCCGCCTCATCTCCATGACCTCCAGGAAGCAGATCTGCCGGAGACGCAGCGTGGACTCGTTATGGATGAAATTGCACATTTCCGCGAGCGCGCTGCGAAAAAAGAACGCGAAAAGATGAAGGACTTGCAGGTCCCCATGCCGAATGTTACACCAGCAGGGCCAAAGCAGCGTGAGTGGGGGAAACCGCAGACGTCTTCGCAATCGCCTCCGCGTCAGGGCTATGGCAAAGGTGCGCAAGGATATAGCAAACCAGTGGGCTTCGTGAAAGAAGGTGGGAGCGAAGGGGGGAATTTGGCGAGTCGTATACAGAAATCAGATGAGGAGATTGAGGAGGAACGGAAAGACGCAAGACGAAAAGATGAAGAGAGCTCTTTTAGGGATGTGAGTAAGTCTCATTTTCTTGTTACAGCATATTGTTGACCCTCGCAGCGTGAGCGTCGTTATGAACCGCGTGAAAGGACGCGCGTCAGCGCCCTGGAACGATCTATCGCACGCCAGCGAGCGGTGAAGGAGGCAGAGGAGCGCGACAGAATAGAGATGAAATCGCGTTTACACATCTGGGACGATGACGAAAGCGACGAACTGTTCTACACCGACCGAACACGGTGGCGAAGTCAGCGTGCACGACGCTTAGCAACGGAGGAAGCTGCTGATGAGGAGTCGCGTATTTATGAGGAGAAGGAAGCGGACAACCTGCGGCGCGAATCCGAGGCGTTCCTCGCTCGGCAAATGGACGAGATGCAGGCGCTTGCAGACGAGCAGCGAAAGGCGGGCATGCTACTCGACGACGGCGCCCCCGTCAAGCTTAACGTCTCGCTGCAGACGGCTGCTGCGCAGAAGGCAGAGCCGTCTACAGAGACAAAAGCGGCTGTCTTCACGCACGACGAGGAAGATGAAGGCTTTAAGAAACGCAAGGCACCGCTCGTGAAGCTAGATTTCAGCGTTGCGGAGGGAGAGAAGGCAAAGGAACGCCTTGAGAAAATTCGTGAGAATGTTGCGAAAGACAAGGATGTATTGTTCAAAGCGAAGGTTCGCTGGGATGGAGTCTCGGATGTAAGTTT